CAGGGAACCCACCAAAACACACTTGACCTTTTTTTTTTTTTCAGATGTTCCTCAGTGACTTTAATAAGGAAAAATATGCTTCTGAGATAAATTCTCTGGTCTGCAGTCTTCTAAACAATACTGTTTAGTTTTGAACAATAATGAGAACCTCCTGGGACGGTCTGAGCCGGCTTGGCCACGTGATGAGAGCTGTGTGTGGCGGGGGACAGGAGTGCAGGTGTGAGGTCCACGCCTGCATAACTTAAGGCTTGCTCCGGGGAGCTCAGGAGGTCCTGGGAAGATGCAGAGCTGGAGTACTGCGTCCTACTCAGAGGCATGTTTGCAGGTTACTGCTGTGCGACCAAGGACCAGCGGGGTGGACAGATAGGAAAGGGCGTGGGGGAGTCCAGGGCGGAGAGTAGTGCCTGTCCCCGTCTGCCCCAGGCTTTTCACCATACAGGCTGAGGGGAGCAGGACCTCGGGCCAGGAGGACGCCAGGCGTTGCTTTAGGTATGATCGGAGATCTCTGATGATTCTTTCAGGGGAAGACATGTGCCGGGTGTTGTTTCTCCAGATGGTAGGATGCGAGGTGTTGGGCGCCTGGTCCCGTGCAGGCTGTCAGGTGCTTACTGCAGTGTGGCAAGTCAGCCCGATCCAGCTGGCTGAAGAGGTGTTAAGTTCAGAGTTTCTGAGGGCTGGAACCTGGCAACAGGTAGCTAGGTGGTTCTGGCTCAGTGCTTCTCCTAAGCTTACTTTGCGTTTAGAAGGGAGGAATATCAAAGACATTTGACACAGTTGAAACTACAGCGAGGTGTGTATTTAGTCCTGATTTTGGGGTCACCGATACATTTTAGCAAGTAAATATGGAATATTGCAAATATGGAATCCATAAATAATGAGGATCAACTGTAAATGTACGACCTGTATTAAGGTGAAAACCTTAAAAAAAAATGCATGTACCTATCACTCAGTTTAAGAAGCAAAACATTACCAGTCCCCATTCCATTCCCTGCTTCAAAGCAAACAACTGCTCTGCAAGTGCCCTCACTTTTCCTGACATTGATCTAACATAAATATGTTTCTCTAAACAATATTGTTTAGTTTTGAACTTTAAAATGAAATCGTTCCTTTTTTTTTCTTTTCTTTTCTTGTTTTTTTTTTTGGGGGGGGTGAGGTTTTCGCTATAGGGCACGCGCGCT